TATGTGTTGTATGCTTGTGTGTCTGTTTGCTCTATGTATGTGGGGTGAAATAGACCCAGTACAGCCTTATGTTGACATATGAGTTGAAATAGACTCGGGGGGTGAAATAGACCCATGGGTGAAACAGACCCGATACAACCTTGGGCTGACATATGAGTTGAAATAGACTCGGGGGTGAAATAGACCTGGTACAGCCTTGAGCTGATGTATTTGTATAGTATGCGATATTTTGGGAAACTCACTAAGCTTCGTGCTTACGATTTTTAGTTTATGTTTCAGGTACTTCCGGATCAAAGGGGAAGAGCTCGAGATGATCATATCGCATACACCATGACTTTTCACTTATTTGACTCTGATGTGTTTTGGATGATTATGAATACATTATAATTTCCCTTTGGTTTTGAGAAACATGTTTGGTTGATGTTTTATTTAATATGAAAACAAAAAATTTTGGTTTTGAGTTTTGGGACATTACAATTTCTAAACTAGCCAAAAATCCAAAAGACGCTTAAAGCCCAAAATGGGCCAAAATCCAAAAAGGTCCAACTCAGAAAGATGTGTGGCCCAACAAGGGCCAAAACTCCTAAAGCCCAAGGTAGCCCAAAACAAAAGCCCAAATGGGTGTCCTGAGAGAGTACACCCAACGTACACGTTTCTACGCCCCACATACAACCGATTCACATAGGAAGGGTTACAGGACCAAGACGCAGTACGCGCAGCGTACCAAAACTTACGCCGGGCGTACGCATCCAAGACCCAAACTTTCAATTAAGGTCTTGATGCTTTAAGACCCAACGTCAAACTTCAGATCTAATCCCAATAAAATGTATTAAGCCATAAAGTTGCAAACTTTATGATTTTGCATGTCGTAATAGGTTCCAAAACCCAGTTTAAACACTTTATATACATAACCCATCAAGATGACATTTTTATGCACTCACAAAGTCAGAAATGATAAGATCTATCATTCTAAGCTCTTGGAGTAGCGCATACTCACAAGGATGACTCAAGGGACCACAATATGATAAAAGCAAGTCTTAGATTAGATCTAACATATATAGTCATCAAGATAGAAGCTTTATGCCTCTAACAAGCTGAAAAGAGTGAATAACTTCTGGATCTACAAGCTTGCACTCGATCAATGCTTCTCTACAAGGCTCCTCCTTCTTTAAAGTGCACCACACACACACCAAAACACACAGGGGTCAATCTCTTGAGAAATGGGTTAGGGTTTCGAGATATAGCTCAAAGGAGGCAATGGAGGATGATAAGGTGAAAGCTTAGGGATATAAAGTGTTTAAATAGGGTGCAAACCCTAAAAATTAGGGTTTCCTCCTGATTAACTTACGCCTAATGTACAAGTGGGTACGCCGAGCATACTGGGGGGGGGGTACATCTTGTCCAAGGTTCTTCGAGGTATGCCCAACATACCTCATTTACGCCCAACGTACTGGGTCCTTATGCAACATAATTAGATACTTAAAGAATAAGAAATTACCTGAAGAACCAGACGTTACAAATGTATTCTGGTTAATGTGTTTTATGTAATAGGATTGTGCATCTATTATTGTTTCCAATTAACCATACATATTGAATTGTGTATAAGCAAGTTTACATGGAAAACAATACAACCAAAAATGCTATTGTACATCACAACAGCAGTTGGCATTGTCTCATAGTCAACCTAAGTTTACAATGATTCAAGGTCAACATGCATGACCATACAAAAGAAGTAGCCCAAACTAAGTATTGTTTGTTACATAAACATAGCCACTAAAACAATCATCAAACAAAGTTGCAAGTTGCATCAAAAGACCTAACACAAAATACCTAAAACAAACACAAACATATGGCAATATCGCATTGTTCAAAAGTATGTTTCTCGATTAAGATTTGTTGTAAGCAAAGATAGACTGCATAACTGAACCAACCATGTCAGGTCTTGGTATGTCCATAAAACCTCAACGCGAAATCATCAAAGGGCCCTAGGATATCACCCTTTACCACTGAGGTAAAAAAGGGAACAAGTTGTTTTGACTACATATAACTCCCACTAATCAAGCCATGTCTAATTATACCCTTTATGGCTGCCAGTTACAAACAATGTTGGAGTATAGTCAACACATAACCGACTCGTATTAGGAGTCTCATGCATCATCCACTCTAAGATAAGTAATATTACCTTCTTAGAATTACTTTTGACATATACTATAAAGTAATATTTAAGTATTGGTCGCTATATAGATTGATTGTTATCAACTCATGTGAGTGAAATTACATCTAATACTTCATCTATCTTCATGGCTTTACCTATATTTATGGATAACTATACCTCACACCAATCTTAATTCATTTCTCACTTCCTACAGAGAATGATCGACTGTGGAAATTTTTTGAACAAACATGTATTCAAAGGAAGTATAAACATGCAAAAACAAAACAAAATAACACATCAATGAAATGATTTCCCTAAGCATATCTATGACATCACATAATTATCAAGTCATATGATATGTGAATTACATAGGTTCTGATATTTTCAACTTAACTAAAATATACATTGTTAAACCAGGTCACTCGAAATTCTAATGCCTATAGACCTACTATGAGCATCATGCTTGGTGTGTGACAATGACTTGGTGAATGGGTCAGCCAAGTTCTCAGATAAATCTACTCTGCTGACGATAATGTCCCATTCTTTGACGATATTCTGTATATAGTGGAATTTTGAGTATGTTTCTTGTCCGCTTGTGTGATCTTTCTTTTTTAGCCAAGGTAACTTCACCTTCCTTGTCACAAAAGATCTATATAGGATCCTTTATAATGGAGACAATGTCGAGTTCTTCGGAGAATTTCTTTATCTATATAGCTTCATTTTCAGCTTCATTAAGTGCAATATACTCAGCCTCAGTCATCAGATATCAAAATATCACGAATGTATAGGAAATCAAAATATTAAATTAACATTGGGTTTAGAGATAATCAAACTTGAACTAATGACTTTCAATACGTCAAGGTGACACTTAACCGTTGAGTTATATCCCTTCCCTGCCCTATTGAGAAATAGAACATACTAATCCTAAGGCAAAAGGGTTGAGAAACTCAACAACACTATTCTTGAACCACTTGGGCTGAACCTTATTTTCACACTATTAAAGATATTAAAATAATGGAAAAATAAGATTTAATTATCAACAATTCGTATGTGAAACATGATTGACTACAGATTCAAGCCATAACACAATGTTTCATAAAATCACACGATTTTCCCAATCTAACTCAACCGGGTTCTATATGAAGAAGATTTGGTTTAACATGTTCTATTCAATACAAATAAGAGAATAACCCGACACGATATTCTTAAACAAATAGAGGAAGCAAAACCAAGTCAAGATCATACAAATCGACCCATTTTTGTGCCAAAGATCTTACCTACCATATCCATAGGAACTGGAGTACCATGCATCTCTTTTCCATTTCCATTCGATAGTTCTTATGTGTTTGCATGACCGAACTAAAATGGGTTATACTTTCAACGTATCTTGTAATGTTGCAACTTGCTATAAAACTATTTCTATATGTGCATACAAGGGTGGCAGTTAATCAACAACCCTCCACAAGAATGTCACCATGATTGGAAACTTACCTAAAAAGGTTGCTAGAAGTTAAGCTCTCCCAAAGACTTAATAACACATGTTTAATTATATAATAATACAAAATAATAAGGGTAATTTTATACTTATTCCCTCCCCCGAAATTGTTTCGTGTACCTCATTTGTGAGAGGATTAGTGTTTGAGTACCTCATGATTTGATAATTTATATGAGTGAGAAGGATACGTATAATAACGCCGAAAAATAATCCCGTGTTTCAACACTTGGTGACACAACCAATAATTAAAAAACTACAAAGAATAAAATGTTGAATCAAAAGAACATGATATATATGTACAACTCTCTAGTGCACTCTCAGACTCTCAATGTGCACATTGAAGCTGGTGGGAGTGGGGGTCCTTAGGACCCTCGCTAGCACAAGACAAACACCACCCCCTAACATGTGCTAATGGAGGTACTAAGCAATACTCGCTACCATCTTAACGAGAGAAGAGAGAGACCTGACTTGCTTGTGATCGGTCCTTTTCTTGTTTGTTTGTTTGTGTTTTTTTTTTTTTTTTTTTTTTGAATCAGGCTTTTTGATTGGTTCTTTGTTCATTTGACTTTTATTTTTTATTTTATTTTTGTTTTTTTTTTCTTTTTAAAATTCAAATGTACATAGGTAGAAAGTAAAAATACGCTTAGTATCTTTTTAAGCCCGCATTTGATTAAAACAAAACTATTCCTTATATTGACTTGCAATGGATAATGAAATAAGAAAGCAAAGACTTCATGACTAAATCAAACTAACCGATTATCTTCGCTATCCTAAAGATCAGAAATATCCCAAAAGACTAGCTGCCATCTTTCCAGTGGTCGATCTACATTGGGGGACCACAACAAAAAAAG